ACTTTTAAAATACAACATAATAGATAAACTTGAGTAATAATTCTAAAATTGTTTCTGCCTACTGTGGCTTCTTTATCATTTGTGGGATTACAACTTTCATGGATTTTGTGGGTAAAGTTAAATCACAAATTTAAATGTTCTTCAAAGTACAAATTTAAATGTTCAGAGAAGTACAAATGTTCTATAGGTTTGTAAGCAGACTTTTGCAAAACTACAAAATCAAATACCCAAGAAAATGCAACTTCCCCTCAATTCATGAAGATTTGTACCCACTATGAGTAAATGAATACACAATAACATTTAATAACATTAAAAATATAACATAATACTGTAAATTCAGAAATTATTGCGAGGTTTTTATTATTGCGAATAATGCAACTGAGTGAGTATCACAATAATAAGAACTCGCATTCAGATAAATTATCTGATACATATATCTATGTGCATATTTTCCAGAAATAGCAATAATAAATCTCGCATTTATGTCCATTCTTCAAAAATCGCAATAGTAAATGCATGCAATAATTTCTGAAATTACAGTAGATAAACTTGATTACTGAGGTCAATCAGTGTAAATGATGGATGACACAGAAAAATCTGACAACCAATTATTAACTGTTAATCTATATTCCAATATTGGATTTATATATACATCTATCAAAGATCAAATTGAAAGTCACACAGACAAACATTTCCTATTCTGTACTTGGAATACTTGCATTGCTGATTTGTTGAAGTTTAACTGTACTAGCTGGATAAAATAGTTTACCAATACAAACAGCAATTTGATAAAACAAATTATTTATAAATATAAACAGTACTACACTTTGTTGTTGTACCCAATGCAACCACACTCAAGTCACATTTAAATATTAAATAAAACTCAATCCTTCGATAAAGAAGTAATTTTTCCTTATAACGTATAATGAAATTGCACCATATAATGACTATGTTCCCTTAATTTTACATTATTTACACTGCACAAACAAGTTTCTTGTTAATTAAAAACATTTCTACATAATTAAATAGAGATTCATCTTCATAAATTGCACAAACGACAGTCAAAAAAATATATACAGCAGCTCAAAATCATGGAACTTAGATGTGTTATGTAACAAGATGGCCTTACTCTATAAATTCATAGACTGAACTGGAATTGATATTTATGAATGAATCACACCTGTTGACCCAAGGTCAATTTGTGTAAATGAGTTCATTGAACAATTAGTTCCTAATGTATGTAGTAACATGAGCATTGTGACATATATGAAATGTATGGGAAAATGCATAAATTTAAAAGTTGTCTTTCAATAAACTAATGTGTAAAAAACATACATATACAATTTCATTATCTGAATAAAGACATACATAATTAGAGTACTTTCTGCTACTTTGCTTTACTTAAAGACAGAATGAGTTTCAATTTTCCATGATTTTTCTGTCTGTCAAGTGTAAAAACCTGCAAGCACATATAAGACACCTATGGCACTTGTAACCAGCAAGCTACTAATAACACAACATCAAAAAACTAATTATCTACCAATCACATCCTTCTAATTTACATGATTTTAGCAGACTATAATGTTACTGATACATGTCATATGTGGGTTAAATTATTTGTAAAATTCTGGCTAGGTGATGTTTTATAAATAGCAGAAATTAATGGCAGAAACTTCTTTGCCATTGCAGGGGTTCAAATTAGCGGTGGCTGAGGTCCACGACCTTCCATTTTTGCAGTCAGACTCTCGTTTTGGTTACAAGCTACGCCCGACGGACCTTCGGTTTGAAAGAAAATAAAAATAAACTTTGCCGACCTTTTTAAACAAAAATTTCCAAACAATCTCAAAATTTATTTTCATCATTATTATTCATGACAGCGATGTTCATTTTGTTCAACCGCTAGCTTTATACCGAAAATTGCCAACTAGTAATGTGTAAATCCGAGTAAAATCGTATCTGACTGACAAAACAACATTGAAAAACATTGGATGCCATAAACCTGAAATGAAGAAAATAACAAAAATCGGATCCAATTCCGGAGCGGATAAGGGTAATTCCGGAGCGGATAAGGGTAATTCTGGGTTTGCCGATCAAATACAATTAAAAAATAATAATTCCAGGCAGTTGATAAAATATAAACACTAGAATTGAAAAGCAAAAGTAGGAAATATTTTTTTACAAAAACTCAAAATTACTTTTTCATAAATTTTCATCACAAAATCCAAAAAAATGTGACAGTAATTTTCTTTATCATTAATAAATATTGATATTACATGTAGATTTTTGTATAGTATAAACGTATTAGAACAATTCCAAGGGGTAATGTCTTCTCAATTTTAAAGGACCAGTACAAATCTGGAAGTTTCTTATCTTATTTTCACAGAGGAACTAATGCATTATAATAGTGCAACTAGATATGATACACTTAAACCAGAGACATATATACACATGTATATACGTCTCTGCTTAAACAGTTTTGAATTTGAACCGTCTTATAAAATGGTATGAGTTGTAATAAATTACCAATAGTTGAGACAACACACCCACCCATGATGACACCCTCCTCAATAACAAAAAAAAATAGATTATCTGAATTATAATATACAAGACAATTACAATTGATATTAAATATTTTATACAACAGTGACTTTGACAATGAAACAAGTTGACCTAACACCAACAGCACATTAATTTTGTTACTAGTATCTTACTATGTTAGGAAATATTTCAAGTAAAAGTAGGACCTGGAATTTAGGTTGTGGACCTTTCAGTTTGGAGTGTCAAAGGTCCTGGACCTTCCAGTACCAAATGTTAATTTGAACCCCTGCATTGGAATCAGTCAAAACAAGAAATGATTGTAACAGGATGCTGTTACGAAGTCTCCCAAACGAAGCTCCCATAATTCGTAATTCCCAGGGTCGCCTGACATTGGGCTAAGTCCAGTGAAAATTGGTTTGGTCCAGTAAAGTTATATGCATTAGTGATGCCTGGGGACTAACCCTGTATATCATTCAAATCATCTTGGCATGACAAACCAGAATATATATGGTTTAGGGGTGGGGATCTCGACCATTTACAAGATATTATAACTTTCTCAAATGGCAGGGGGTCGGGATGACCCCTGAAGACTAACCCTGTATATCATTCAAACCATCTTAGCATGACAAACCAGAATATATATGGTTTAGGGGTGGGGATCTTGACCACTTACAAGATATTAGAACTTTCTTAAATGGCATGGGGTGGGGGTGACCCCTGGGGACTAACCCTGTATTTCATTTCATGTGCTTTGTCATGACAAACCAGAATATATATGGTTTAGGGGTGGGGATCTCTACCATTTGCAAGATATAAGAACTTTCTCAAATGGCAGGGGGTTGGGATGACCCCTGGGGACTAACCCTGTATATCATTCAAACCATCTTAGCATGACAAACCAGAATATATATGGTTTAGGGGTGGGGATCTTGACCACTTACAAGATATTAGAACTTTCTTAAATGGCATAGGGTGGGGGTGACCCCTGGGGACTAACCCTGTATTTCATTTGATTTGCTTTATCATGACAAACCAGAATATATATGGTTTAGGGGTGGGGATCTTGACCATTTACAAGATATTATAACTTTCTCAAATGGCAGGGGGTTGGGATGACCCCTAGGGACTAACCCTGTATATCATTCAAACCATCTTAGCATGACAAACCAGAATATATATGGTTTAGGGGTGGGGATCTTGACCACTTACAAGATATTAGAACTTTCTTAAATGGCATAGGGTGGGGGTGACCCCTGGGGACTAACCCTGTATTTCATTTGATTTGCTTTATCATGACAAACCAGAATATATATGGTTTAGGGGTGGGGATCTTGACCATTTACAAGATATTATAACTTTCTCAAATGGCAGGGGGTTGGGATGACCCCTGGGGACTAACCCTGTATATCATTCAAACCATCTTAGCATGACAAACCAGAATATATATGGTTTAGGGGTGGGGATCTTGACCACTTACAAGATATTAGAACTTTCTTAAATGGCATAGGGTGGGGGTGACCCCTGGGGACTAACCCTGTATTTCATTTGATTTGCTTTATCATGACAAACCAGAATATATATGGTTTAGGGGTGGGGATCTTGACCATTTACAAGATATTATAACTTTCTCAAATGGCAGGGGGTTGGGATGACCCCTGGGGACTAACCCTGTATATCATTCAAACCATCTTAGCATGACAAACCAGAATATATATGGTTTAGGGGTGGGGATCTTGACCACTTACAAGATATTAGAACTTTTTTAAATGGCATGGGGTGGGGTGACCCCTGGGGACTAACCCTGTATTTCATTTCATGTGCTTTATCATGACAAACCAGAATATATATGGTTTAGGGGTGGGGATTTCGACCAATTACAAGATATTATAACTTTCTCAAATGGCAGGGGGTCGGGATGACCCCTGGGGACTAACCCTGTATATCATTCAAACCATCTTAGCATGACAAACCAGAATATATATGGTTTAGGGGTGGGGATCTTGACCACTTACAAGGTATTAGAACTTTCTTAAATGGCAGGGGGTGGGGGTGACCCCTGGGGACTAACCCTGTATTTCATTTAATGGGTTTTATCATTTAGAACATTTTCAATTAAAAAGATTGTGTCTATGACAAACGGTTTTCAATTTATAATCATTTGAAAATTTTAAAAAATAAAATCCCATAGGGTTCTATAGTAAAACCCTCTTTTCTTTTTGCCCCTCAAAATACCCCTTTGTAAACCCCATTGCACAAACAAAACCCTGATTGCACCACTAGACATGTTAGTCTAACATATTGTGAAATCCTAAGTTAATCTGACAAGCGGTTTTGGAGAACGGGTGCGGACAAGTTCAAATTTAAAAGCGGCGGAAGAGGAAGAGGAAGAAGAATAATAATAATAATAAGAACTGAGCAAAAACAATAAGTCTTCCCAAACTTCGTTTGGGAGACTTAATAACTGCATACATAACATCTGTCAATATACAGATTCTGTGTCAACTTTTTGCTTACAAGGATCATAGGAAATTCTACTTTCTGTTCTGGTAATTATTACATCAGCCAATGAAAGACCTGCTTACACATGTTTAAAGGTGTGAACAGCCAATGAAAGACCTGCTTACAATATTCTAAATTGAGTATCCTTACAACAAAACCAGGGAATTTGGAAATCTTTATAACAGAAAGCAGAACTGAGCGCTGTCAGATCTTTGTAAGCAAAGCATGGACACAGCATCCGTATTTTAATGAGATTGACAACAGCTGATATTTTTATCGGAAGAAACTTCTAAGTATATTTTTTAACCATGGTACACAACGTACTACCCTCATCGGTTGAGGTAATGCCACTTCAAATGCAGATCCTGAAAGCACCACTATTCACATATAAAACTTAAATATAAAACTTAAATGTATATATTCTATTCTACATGTACAGACAACAAGAAACTGTAACTTATGAACTTCAGGATTCGTTGGCTTAGGTATCACCACTTCAAATTCAGATCTTGAAAGCACCACTATTCACATATAAAACTTAAATGTGTATATTCTATTCTATGTGTATGGTCAGCAAGAAACTGTAATGTATGACCTGCAAGGTTCATTGGCTAAGATATTACCACTTCAAATACAAATCTGATAGCACAAACTATTCACATATAAAACTTGAATGTATATACTCTATTCTACATGTACAGTCAACAAGAACTGTAATGTATGACCTTCATCAACTCCTTTAAAAGTATAAAACGTCACATATTCTTTTTTCACTTCTTTCTGATGTAAAATGTAAAATAATGCCTCTCAATGAATATGGCACTTTACATTGTATTTTTGTATAATTTGCTTTGTATTTCACAAGATACCTTTCTTTTTGCAGCCTTTGTTTACTTCATGGGAAATAAAATCTCAAAAACCTGCAAATAAAAATTCATTGAGATAAACTGTAATCATATATATCAATTTAAAAGATATTTTTTAATTAAATACTGCTTTGAATTTTGATTGTCTCATTGATCTTGGTAACTTAAGACATACAAAATAAATCCATAGCTTCACAAAGCATTTTTCGAAATTTTAGATGAGACAAAAAGTGGCATTTTTTTCAATTAACAGAAATATGTCACAATAATTCATTGATCATAAGTTATGTTTACATTACATTTAACCAAATCTGCCTACTTCTATAATTTATTAATCCAATTTGTTATATTGTATAATAATCACTAGCAAAACTGCCTCAATTATTGAGGCAGCATGCTTGCACTGAATGTGGGAAGTTATGACCTCAATTCAGTCAAATCAGAACAAAGACTTTAAAATGCTGTCCTTCCCTCAAGCACACAAAAGGGGGTTAGGAAAGACGGTATATGGGTAGGATTAGATGTACTCTTGCAATGTTTACTTATTAGCTAAAAGGTTACAAAAATCTAATGAATTTATATGACATTTGGATATGATTGTCCTAATATGTATGTAATATTTTTCAAATTGTGGTGTGGGTTAAGTATTTATCACTTTATTGTCCCTTTCCAAAAAAACCTCTTTTTCTAGTTGCAGTCCAAGGTTTTCACCCTTCATAGAAGAAGGCCATTTTTCAGAATTTGATTTATTGTATTCTACATCCTTAATACATGTAATATGACACAAATAGACCAACCATCATCACTTCATGAAATCTTACCAGAGTGTAGACTCTTTTGTTGTATCTTCAGCTGGATTAACCATGTGACCTTTAGATGGTCCTAGATCTACAGTTATATTTGTGTAGAGAAGTTCATCATGTTTACTTATCACAGAATAATTCATTGTCTTTGGTGAGTTCAACCCATCTTTATGCCATCTACCTCTCCAGCCAAGGAATGCTTCATAACTGTAAATACATAAAACAGGTTACTGCTAATATCTTTGAGCGAGAACCCCAAGGGTTGACTGGGATATAGAAATGTGATCATCCCCTTGCTGGCAGTTAAACTATTGATAAAGTGGGGTGTCCGTTCGGCTGCGTGGAATGTATAAACTTGCAGCCATATTCTGTTTGAATGGAAATGGGAATCTGATTTTTACTGTATGGTGAGAATCACACTCTCCACATGTCAAAGAATCTGTGTGAAAACTCTCTGGTGAATTGCATGTTAAAAAGCTTGCTAGGAATACAAGAGTTCTTCAAGTATAACAGCATATCATATCAAATCAACATGTTCTACTCCTGAATTTGACCCAATGATTGCTCTTCTGTATTTAAAAATATCCATTCATCCATGACTTCTGTCCTCAGCTTGATAAAATATGATACCGAAAAAATTCTCCTTTATATCTTTTCAATGTTCTTATACCATCTCCAACTTAAAGAGAAAATAAGAGAGGAATGTGCCATTGGGACACAGATGCCCCCACTTCTAAATATGCAAGAGTCAATGTACTAATTCAAACATATTAATGTTTTGTTTTCTTTTAAACTTAATGACATTTGTTTCTGTTTGTTATCATAAGAGAGTGATCAGGAGTTTGAGTGCTCTCATTGTTCAATAATTTAATTTTGGATGTAACACGTCTTCTGATTGGCTGAAAGTTTTTTGTCTATCAGCTCATAGACATAATTTTGTCACGTGTCCGTGATGTCATCAACGTTTTTTCATGATTTACTCCTTACAAATTGAATTTAGAATTAAATAATAAGGAATGACTGTAATATTTTTTCTGTCTATTCGAAAAATAACCTCAAAATGTGGTGCACACTTCTAAATAACACATTACGCAGGTTATTCAGTGTGCACCACATTTTTAATATTATTTCTTCATAGTCAGAAAAAATATTACAGTCATTCCTTAAATAACAAACAGTAATGGGGTAACTCAAGAAAGGTGAAAGTGACACCACCCTAATTCAAAATTGATCTGTGTTTGGTGGTAATAAGCATTTTGTATAAGGTTCATAACATTTGGTAGGGGCAAAGTATAGTTATAATGTGGAAACGGCAAATTCACTAACTTTCAATTTATAAAGGGACATAACTCATGAACAGTGAAAGACACAAAAATTTGAACATGTTCTGTGATTGGTGGTAATAAGCATTGTGTATAAATATGATAATCTAAATCTTTTTGGCTAATTTTAATAATTAGATGCAAACTGATGAAATTTTAGAAAATAACTTTAAATACATTTTGTAGACTGATCAATATCCGGTACCAAATAGTTTACCTGTCTCCTGAACAGGTAAATTACATATGTCAGACAACTCATTGACCTTGATTGTAATTAGAGGGTAAAGTAGGGTTTGTTTGGATCGTACTTTCATCATATATATTTATGTACGGTAGGTGAATTTTCAAGTATATAAAGTGGGCTAATTGTAATAACAATAAAGTATAAGTCCCCTTAGTATTTAAAGTGGTGCATGCAAGAGAAAATTTATTGACAAGGGCGGAGACCATCTAACAAGGAAAACGTATTTGTGTATAGAAAGATTAATCTTCAGTATAACAGTTTGTGCATTATATATGTAGTATTCATATTTTAATTATGCACTTCTTTTTGTAGATTGTATGTTATTTGAATGAAACTGATGTCAATTGTGGTGCATACAATTGAGGACATTTGTCTTGTGTTCTATATGCGTTTAATAAATTTTGAAGATGGTCACTGCACCTGACAGTCTCTATAATGGTGTTTGCCTTTATCAATACAGAAATAATTTCATTGTCCGTCAAATATTTGGGACATACATATTTACTTTTTCATGGTTGGTATTAGGGTGTCATGAGAAAATTGGAAGTAAAAAGTACATAAATGATTCATTTTCGGTTGAACAGAGTAAATTAAGAAAATAAGTCATTTTCAGGGCCTAATCTAGGATTTTGAAGAGGGAGAAGTGACTTCTCTGTCCATGAGAGAGTAGGGAGAAGTGGTCAATTTCTTGGAGAAGTGAGATTCCATTACCGTTTCTGTTGCATCATGTTTTCATGTTTATCACTAAGGAAATTGTTTTATATTCAATAAAAGATATACTTGCAGTTTTTTCATATGTTATTGTACACAATGTATATATAGAAAGTTCTTTATAAAAAGGTTTAGACAATATATAGTTGTTATTTATTTATTGATACCATTGTGTTCAAAATAAAATTTGTTGATTGGGACATGAGGGAGTAGCCTAGTAATATTATCAAGATTATGATGCATTAAATTCATGTGCATCTGCCTCATTTTATTTTTAAAACTCCAGAAAAATATGACTCCCAGTCTGCCTCCCAGTTTACCTGATGAATTTCACATGACTGGGAATTTAATTTATATCACCGCTTGTCATTATTTTGCAAAACATTATTGAATGTCCAGGACATTTTGTTAGTTGTAAATTGAGATTATCGTTAAAGATTGTAAGTCTATAAATGAAAATATATTTCAATCGCATATTAATTATCCGATAAAGAGCTAATTTCTATCATTTTTTTAAAAAAATCATCCATATCAAAGAAGTGGTCATGAGAAAAAAACCACTGCTGATCACAATCTGGTCGAGTGTCGTACGTTTGCAATCACATTATCCATCAGCTGTCTTTCTACCTTTTATATTTCAATTTTTATTCAATGAATATACTAAATCTACCATTAATTCCCACCCTTTACCTTCCGAATAGTAAAATTGATCAACTCATGTAAGTAATAAAAATAAAACAAATCAGCTGAGTGATTACGCAACATCCTTGGATGAAAATCATTGTAAAATGATAACTTAAACAGACGGTCAGTTTTCCGTTTGAATAGTTTTGAAAGTTATATCCGAGGATGTTCAAAGTCGCTGTTGTATTTATTTAATTTGATCCTTGACAGTATTAGTCCTGGGTCGTTTCGAAAATCTCGATTTTCCTTGTCAGCCGCCATTTTTTTTACCTGTGAGACTTGTCAATCACAAGTTGTCTCCCTTTTACCGATTTTGATAGCCATTTGACTTCGCTATGAAGTCAGTCGGCCGGCGAGATTTTGCGATTTTCAAAATTCTTTGGCGACTTAAATCATCATTTCGCCGGCAAGATTATGGCCTGATTTTATTGACTAGAAATGTGTGGCTGTTTAAGGCAAAAGGTCAGGTCAAAAAGATCACATAAACTTCAATTTTTTCTGAATTATGTTAAAATGGCAAACCCCCTTTATATGTCCATTTCGGACTCTGCACAACAAGTCATAAATACAATTTATGGAAGCGCTGATACCACTTATAATAATGAACCCACAGTTAAAAAAAGATTTTGAGCAGATTCTGATTGACATATTGATGTTTTGCTTAACATCCAGTGGCAAATATTTCATGCATGTTCAGGAAAAGAGAGCAAATTCTTAAAATATCAAAAGTCAGAATTAACTAATAACACAAATACACAAACCCATGTTCTGATCTTGTTTCTTTTTTATGTCTGACCATCTTAAACCTCCCTATATACTCAGGTGGCCTTGTCAATAAAATTCCTGAGGACTGTAATCTGTAATGTGAAAAACAAATTTTTTTTATTAGGTTGTGTGATTTTTTTCCACTAAAGATTTCTAATATACTACTTCACTGACCCAGTGACCCCTGGAGGTCAGCAGTGTCAATAAAATAAAAGTCAAAGCTATTTTCTGACATTTAGTGATCAACATTTATCTAGTTTCTTCATTTAATTGCACAATGTTGGATTCCTTTAAATCTAAAAATAATAGGAAATTAAAATCCTTAAGTTTGCATTTGAATTTGCAAATAATTTATTCTGACTGTGAATAATTTGAGAAAAATCATGTAAACATTACCCAATAATTTCTATATTTTCTGAAAGATTTCAGAGAAAATTTTAAATCATTCCTTAATACAGAAGCTGATTAATATGTAACAAAAAGTGTCATCCTAAGTGAGTAAAATTAAAATTCGAAGTAATGTCAAAGAGGAAATAATGGCACGACAGAACTGGAAAGTTTGATTTGTTCTTATTGAGGATTTTGTACTGTACTCAACCCAAACCAGAGTGATTTTTCACTGAATCGCCTTTTGTGTACCGATATATAAAGTGTCTAAAGTATTAGTAAAACTGCAAAAGGCAAATAGTATAGGAAAAACAATGTAAATGAGATTTTATTGACAAATTTTCTCCCTAAATACAGAGGTTTGAAAAATCAACACCTATTCAAATCTCTCTCGGTTCATTCTTACCTTGCTGAGAAATCATCATCTTCATTCCCCCATCCCCAGTAAGAGTTAGCAAAACCATTTATTCTGACAAATGTTTCCTTCTTTGTGGCAACAACTCCTCCAGCATAGTTGTAATACATAACACTACAAAAGTAATTAAACAGGACTAATTCAGGCAATTTGTATATTGGAGAGCTATTTTTTCCAAATTGGTCATTTCATTTGGAGCAATATAGTTGTGTAAATCCAATTTTGCTTGAAAGATGTTGAAAATTTACAAATATTGTGTTCTGTTAATTCAGAAATTACTGTAAGGTTTTTATTAATGCTATTATAGGGTAAGTATGGCAAATAATCAGAACTCCCATTCTGATATCTAATACATATATCTGTATGCAACTTTACCTAAAAAGGCATTAATTAGTCTTGCATGTTGGTTGGTCATGTCAAAATTGCAATTATAAATGCTAAAAATTATTTCTGAATTTACAGTAATCATCTTCCATGCATGAATAAGAGTTCATATATCATGTTTATTGAATGACTGCAACATTTACAATGCATATTTTTGTTTAACAGTATTCATATGAATGCTTTTGATATCATATGCCAATATTGATAAGTCTATTTTGTATTGTTGTGTATCTGTCTCACTGTACCAAAAAATCTCTATACATTTTAAAGTATAGAATACAATAATATTAATAGTCAGGATCCTTTTTATTGTGATACAAATGTACATGTATACCAAATTTTTTTTAATTTTCCTGACAATAGATTGTAAAATCAAACTTGAGATTAAATATTCTTTACAACTTATACCTAAATAAGGAAAAAATTTCCTTCTCTTCAAATTTTTTTAAAAATGTTTGGGTCCAATATAATTAAAACTCCTTTACTTTCCCTGTGCATGAATTGATAAAAGAAACAGCTAAATTATTACATTCATATTGGATAATATGACTTATACTTACTGATATCTCATTTCGTCAATAGCAGACGACAGTTGTCTGACATTATTATCACAAAGGTACAGATTTTTATCATTTTCTGGAAGTAGATCGGCATCATGGAAAACAAAACAATCAAAATTTTCATATTTCAATGCTTCTGTAAATCCAACATTCATTAATTTTCCTCTGTTAAAACGATCATTTCCTGCCTGTAAAAAAACACTTATTTATCAATCATTCCAGAATTTTGTTAAATGCAAAGAAACTATATCTTCCATAACGTTATGTTAGGCTGATAGATAATGTCCTTTTTGTGCCAGTTTTATTCATAAATATTTCCATGGTAAATGATAAATATCAAAAGTTACTTTTCAAAATATTTTTACTTGCTCAAGTAAAATGAATGTCAGAATGGTGCCACGTGTGGAACAGGAACTGCTTACTCTTATGGAGCACCTGAGTTCATCTCTGGTTTTGATAGGGGTCATGTTGCTTAATCTTTCATTTATTATATAATGTTAACTTTGATATCATTTTCATTTTTGGCCATGGTGTTTTAATTTATTGGACTTGAGAAATCATATTTGAAAATGTCTAAGAGTATCAGTCTAGTTTAAACAGGGTATATTATTACACTGATCTGAATATAAATGTATTAGAAGCCAGCCATGCACATTTTTTAGGACTATCCAATATTTGCCATTACTCCTAAATGATTCATATTTGTTGGATTACAAAAAATGTAGCAGTAAATATCAGTTTAAAAGTCATTGGATTGACTATAAATCAAAAATTCCTGTTAACAGAGAATGCACTTTACTATGAAACCACAGAGGCAATAAAATGCTTTAGACTTTTAATTTAATTTCTATATGCAAGTCTTATGGTGTTTTTTTTTTAATTGGTATCTTTGATTAAAAAAAAGATATCCTCTTTATCCCTTTTATAAATATGTAAATTCAAACCTGTTCAATTATAAATATTCTGTACTCTATCTGTTGCTTAAATAACATAGGATGGAGTCTGTTCAATAAAATTTTTAGATGATGTGATCTGTCTCTATAAGGCACAACAATTGCTACTTTTTGGTACGATTTACAATCTTTAGGACTAAAATGTCCACCCTTCTTGACAAATGGATACTTCTCTGCTAATTCTGGTATAGGGAATGCATTTACAATGTCTATATTGGTCACATCTGAAAGAAATAAACCGGGTTCAAAAGAATGTTTAAAATTAGGCTAAACCAAATTAATCTGTTGGTCTATAAGTTCACTCCCTCATAATATAATTTTATAACTCATGATATCAAAATTTTTTCATAAAAGTTTTCTGTTTCTTTGATCTCATATCTGTCAAATCAAAAATATTTTGATAAATCAGTTTTCATGGCAGAAAAATAGGTTAAGGATTGTTAACTATGTCAATTGGACCTGCTTTGATACAATAACTGCCCTTGAATTTTTACTAGATAACATTTTTGTTCGCTATGGAGATTCCGTATATCGTCAAGTTATCGGAATTCCAATGGGGACTAACTGTGCACCACTTATTGCGGACCGGTTTCTGTATTGTTATGAGTTACAATTTATGACTCAAATCAGCAAAGACCCATCGAAATAACCTCTGATACATAAATTTAATAACACTTTTAGATATTTGGATGATATATTGGCTCTCAATAATGACGACTTCAGTATGTACACTAGAGAGATTTATCCTGCTGTTCTGATTTTAAATAAAGCTAATACTAACAATGAACACTGTCCTTTCCTGGATCTTGATATCTATATCTTTAACGGGAAGCTTAATACCAAAATTTATGATAAAAGAGATGATTTTTCATTTCCTATTGTTAATTATCATTTTTAGATGGTGACATTCCCTTGTCACCATCTTATGGTGTTAAAATATCTCAACTTGTTCGATTCGCTCGTGTATGTAACAACATATTTGATTTTAACAAAAGAAATCTCTATATTACTGAAAATTATTACACCACGGTTTTCAATATCACAAACTAGTCAAAACATTTACTAAATTTAATCATTGGTACAAGGACATCATTCGTAATATAAATCAACATGCAGACATCTTATACTTTCAGGTATTTCACATCAAATCTTTTATGATAATATTCTATACAAAGCACAAAAATGTCGACATTCACCTCAAAAGCTAACCAAACCTTTAAACAGACTTATTCAGAAGGGATATAGTTACAATACTGTTATCAGGTCATTAAAGATGGCATATTTTGGTATTAATATTGATTCACTCATAGGGTCTTTGCATCCGAAATAAACACATTTATTCTAAAACCAGTTGTTGACATGATACGGGTTATGTTCTTCTCATGTATTTTATGATGGTATGATACTTAACCCCTAATGGGAGAGATTGTGCTTGATTTTCATATGATGATGACATAATCTTTCAATCAGTTTAATTGAGGTCTGGACTCTGGAGCTGGCATGTCAGTAACTGCTAGTAGTCCTTTGTTAATTTATATATGTATCATTGTCATTTTGCTTAGTTTTTTTTTTTGGCTACTTATTCTGACATCCGACTCGGACTTCTTTTAAATTGAGTTTTACTGTGCATATTGCTGTTTTATTTGTTTACTCTACATTGGCTAGAGGTATAGGGGAGGGTTGAGATCTCACAAAACATGTTTAACCCCACCGCATTTTTGCACCTGTCCCTAGTCAGGAGCCTCTGGCCTTTTTAAGTCTTGTATGTGTTTTAATTTTAGTTCATTTATATGTTTTTGAGTTTAGTGTGACGTCCATTTTCATTGAACTAGTACACATTTTTGTTTAGGGGCCAGCTTAAGCCTGCCTCCGAGTGCTGGATTTTCTCGCTGTGTTGAAGACCCATTGGTGGCCTTCGGCTGTTTTCTGCTCTTTGGTCAGGTTGTTGTCTCTTTGACACATTCCCCATTTCCATTCTCAATTTTAAGACTTAAAGTAAAATATTTTTTGTTTTGAAAATATTTTTACAGACTTCATCATGCGCATGTATATAAAAGGACATATTCTAGACAGTGTTCCAGCTTGAATCTCAGGGCAAAAGGGTGCTAGTTGTGTGAAATGGCACTTAAGCATTATAACCCAGATTTTAAGGGCACTGTTGGACAGTGTATAAATTACCTTGAATATTGCTAGGCTCATCCAGCTGGAGAACATTAGTGGTAGTTAAACCATATTCAGAAATTAATGTGTTCTTGAAGTTGGTTCCAGTAAGATTTTTTTTATCAAATTATCATACCATGAAGCAAAGCATATCATTTTGATGTTAATCTAAACAAACTTGTACATTTGGTAAGGAAAATAATCATCAGAAATTTCAATGTTTTATAACTTATACCAGTCTATATGGACTATAAAAATAAACAAGTAGTTTTGAAAGATGGAGTTATACATGCAAAATTGAATGATTAATGTAATTAAATTATCTACATTTAAATTACTTGTTCAAACATATAGTATATATGTGTTATTTAGAGTTATTTATTATCATTTGAATTGTTACAAAAAAGTATTTTTAAGTGCACACCAAAGTGCTACTCAGTAAAAAGTTTTATAAATATAACAGGTGAGACTGTAGATGATCATATTATATTGATGCAATAACATATTGCAGAAGGTATAAACAGTTACTTTTTTCTCCATCATTGTTAAAAATAAATTTGTTGAGTACTCCTATGCCAGGAGGATTATAAAATACAAGAAGTAAAACAGGAAGTGAATCTTGTTATGTTCAAAGTACAAATTTCTTTGATTCTTCTTTAATTTCATACTCATGGTTATGAAACAAAACAATTTTTTACCAATTAAGTCAAAACTATGTATGCCTTTGAAATTGTTTAAGATTTTATTTTTTATGTTATGCCTACTGAAATAATTTTTTTCAGGTGTACATGCTGTACATAAACATTACAAATGGATAAATTGGACATTTCATTCTGTATTAAATATCTAGTATTTGGACAATTATCTTAAATCCACTAATTGGCAGTAAACAATCATCGACTAAGGTGATAAAACTGCCAAAGCATTAGGTATTTAACTTAATCCCATTGTCAGTTAATTATTGCTACACAATCAGGTAACAATTTTACCGGAAACCCCGGTAGGTATGAAATTTGGAAATTTTATTTTTTTGAAAAGGCAGAGGAGTGCATTCTTTTACTTTGGAGAGCAAAAGGGCGGGGGTAAGGGCACCAAGGGCGGGCCGCCCCTCTATTTAGGGCAGGCGGGAACACTGCTAGACTTAACCAAAAATTTCCATAAAATGTGTTCGGGTGGGGCTTGAAAATTTTGGGTATGTAGGGAAGCAGGAAACAAAGCTATATAGTTTTGTTGTCTAATATTTGCAGGAACACCATTTTGCACTGTATTAATTCTTACAGAAATCCTTACCTAGTTTTTCTAATTTTGGTTGGCATATATCCAGCACATTAGAGGCAGACAAATGACTGAAGTCTAAAAGTGTCTTTGGATGTGTAAAGATACAATGGTCTCGATAATTAACCAAGGAGAAGAACAACATTGCAAAATAAACAGTTGATACCGAGAAAAAAGCATATTTTTTCAAGGTTGTAAGGAACATTTTGTATCTTTCTTCTCAATGATGCAAGAAAAATGCTGTTTTTGTGTCCCTTGTATTATTCCATTGACATCTGCTCTCAGGATATTTCAAACCAGTAACAAGTATCATGATCTGAAAAAAAAGATTAAAAAAAGCCATTAACTTAACTTGAATGTAATCTAGCTATTTACAACTTCATCATGTTCATGTTTACTTTATAAAACTATAGTTAATATGCTGATTTTTGATACAAGTCTAACTGTTTTCTGCTCTTTGGTCGGGTTGTTGCCTCTTTGACACATTCCCCATTTCCATTCTCAATTTTATCCCATCACTTTAAGCTCCCTTTTTTGGGGTCAAATATTAGATCCAACAAACAATTTAACAAATTTTCAAGTGTGAGGTTAAAAAGAAAATTATTCACATTGCTGATTTTTATAGGGATTACTTTTCATCTGACTCCTTTAAGACATTTCCATCTGACAAAACATTTCACCATCAATTAGCAACATAAAACATTTTCCCAATTATTATAACTAATACAAACTATCAGCATGATAAGAAGAATACTATTTATGAAGACATTACTGATGAATAAACTGAAGAAACTAAACTTTTTTTTTCTAACTGTACTTTTGACATGTTGTTTCAATGAATGACAAACATTATCTAAAATCTTCGACATGGAAAACACTATCCTAATGCACTGGAAATGCCAAGAAAACCTTTTTCTTATCATGTTTCAGTAATCATAAAGTTCTACAGTGTTCAATTATAAATGATAAAGTATGTACATTATCTTCTACCATTACTACAACTAATACAATTTTTTATAAATATATGTAAAAGCATAGAATATGATCTGTACTAACATGACTAAATCTTAATATACTACTTGTCTCTTTCTTTCTTAAATTTATTTTATGCTGTAATATAAACTGAATAATCTTTTTTGTTCAGAATGACACTGTGCAAATAAATAAATTATTGATTGATGGTGTTGTATGCAACTTTCAGTACTATTGGCTACTACCATGAAAGTCAGTTTTTATTGGTGGAGGAAGATGGAGTGCCTTGAGAGAACCACATCCAACGACAGGAAAACTGTCAATCTTAGTCAATTAATATAGGATGGAACACACCTGCTTTAATTATTAAATGTTAATTATGTATGATTACTGCTAATTGGTATTTATACACAGCCTAATTTGGTGTTATTGTTGAGTGTTTAAAAATCCTGATTGTTGTTTTAACTTGCTTTGATGTAAATACTGCATGTATTTAGCTTGGTATGAGTAAAACTTTGAAGATTTTAAATAAAAAACATGAAAGATAATTGTTTTTAACAGCTTGGCTCCTTTGATCTTATGTGTGTTTGGACAAGTATGATATATATGAATATAGCAATACACTATCCAAAACATGATTACGAATTATTCAACACATAAAAAACGTTGTCAGAATCCCAATTCCTTTTGAAACAATAAAAAAGAAATATTTATAGCAATACACTAACCAAAACATGATTAAAATTTTATCAGCACATAAAAAAACATTGTCAGAATCTCACTTTATTTAGAAACAATGAAAAAAAAAAAATTTATATATATATAAATAGATACAAGTCTAAATTGAAAACAAAATAGATATATATAGAGCAATACTCTTACCTAAACATGATTAAGATTTATTCAACACATTAAAAAAACCTTGTCAGAATCTCACTATATTTAGAAACAATGAAAAAAATATATTTATAGGGATACACTTACCATGCTTACCATTTATTCAACACCAAAATAACGTTGTCAGATTCACACTTTATTTACTAGAAACAATGAAAAAAAATATTTATAACAATACACTATCCAAAACATGATTAAAAATTATTCAACACAAAAATAAAAATACTGGTCGTCAGAATCTCACTTTAATTAAAAACAATGAAAAAAAAATGTCTATAGCAATACATTAACCATGACAAAAATCAAAGCGCGAAAGCGCTGTAAAGGCAGTTAATTACAGGTTGTGTGTATTTTTAGTCCAGTTATATCATTATCTTGCATAGTACATTGTACTTATCAGAGGTGGCTTTCAGTATTTAAGATTTAGAGTTCTCTAATGATATTGAACAAGTTTTATGAATGTCATATTCTGAGCACTATATGAAGGCGATTGTTCTCACTTGTTTATGAACTAGTGCATTATGTCCAGTTTGTACCTTTTTTATCTATGTTTATAGTCAAATACTGTTTAAAATAGTTTGGCATTTTCTTTTTAGTAATAAGTAAATGTTATCAACTGTATTTTATTCAACTTTGCAAATGTGGTTTGTTACTGGTAAGTACAATGTATGGATGATAGTTGTTTCATTGGCAATCATAACACATCTCCTTATTTATATAAAATGATCTATATTCAACGACCTCAGGTACAAAAAAAATGTATGTAACTAAACTATGATTGGAAACCCTTGACTTCTTTCTTTTATATAAACTTTTGATTTGGTACCATAGAACTATGTAGAATAATGTACATTGCAACATGTCAACTCTTTCAATGACAATACTTTTTTTAGAAACTATAACTCCAAGCAAAATTATATTTCCAAGTATAAAGTAATTTATGAATGAAACAAGAGTGTACACGCTGAAATGTCTCGCCTTCTTTACTAATCATTGATTTTATGTTGATAGTCCTAAATATAAAGCTTTATTACAACTGTCACATAAACTTAACATTAACCAAGTAAACTAAACATTGACCAATGAACCATGAAAATGAGGTCAACGTCAGATGAACCATGCTAGGCAGGCATGTACAGCTAACAATTCTTCCATACAACAAATATAGTTGACCTATTGCATATAGTTTAAGAAAAACAGACCAAAACACATAAACTTAACACTGAGCAATGAACCTTGAAAATGAGGTCAAAGTAAAAAAAAACCTACGTGACTGACAAATAGATCATAAAATATTTCCATACACCAAATAAAGTTGAACTATTGCATATAGTATTAGAAAAAAAGACCAAAACTCAAAAACTTAACTTTGACCACTGAACCATGATAATGAGGTCAAGGTCAGATGACACCTGCCAGCTAGACATGTACACCTTACAATCATTCCATACACCAAATATAGTAGACATATTGCATACAGTATAAGAAAAACAGACCAAAACACAAAAACTTAACTATAACGACTGAACCATTAAAATGAGGTCAAGGTCAGATAACACCTGCCAGTTGGACAGTCCTTCCATACACCGAATATACTAGACCTATTGCTTATAGTATCTGAGATATGGACTTGACCACCAAAACTTAAACTTGTTCACTGATACATGAAATGAGGTCGAGGTCAAGTGAAAACTGTCTGACGGGCATGAGGTCCTTGCAAGGTACGCACATACCAAATATAGTTATCCTATTACTTATAATAAGAGAGAATTTAACATTACAAAAAATCTTAACTTTTTTTTCAAGTAGTCAGGCTCGACAAATAGGAGTTCTTAATTAAGAAATAAATTGATTCGCTGAGCGCAGCTGGATACACCTGCAGAGGTCCAACCCTGAACAGTTGGGGCAAAAATGGACACAATATTCAAGCTTGATACAGGTCTGAATTTGGATTGTAATTAAATATTTGACATATCATAGTTTCTGAATAAATGTAGTCAAAGAACTTGAAATCGGTTATATGAATTGAATTTATATTCAATTAAAGATTTCTTGCTGTTGTGCAATACACTGTGCTGTTGCGCAATACACTGTGCTGTTGCACAATACTTAATAAATCTGTTGCCAGACTATAAACAAATAAAGTTCAATTTCTTCTCAATGTCATATTTGAAATTTATGAAAATCAATAGGGAGATTACATCAATAGCTATAAATAATTCACCAAAGTTTCATGCGAACTGCTTAAAGCATTTTTGAGTTGTTGTCCAAAAACTGGAAAATCCCCCCTTTTTTAATGAATAAAACCCCATAACTCAGAAATGTAAAATCTAAAATTTATAAAATTCTAAAGGGAGCTTACGGTTTTACATTGTCATTTCGGGGCCTTTTTTAGCTCACTGTGCGGTATGTGCTTTGCTCATTGTTGAAGGCCGTACTGTGACATTGTTTAGTCTTAGATGCAAGATTTTTTTATCAGTTGTTAGTGGCTTTGAACTAGCTGTCAGTAAATGCGAGTACTCTCAGATCTGTACTTAGTGTCTTTTTGTTGTTTGGATGTACAACTACCCGGCCACGTCCACTTGTATTTGTATTTATCCATCTGATGAGTTAAGCCTCTTTCAACTGATTTTTATAGTTCGTTCTTATATTGTACTGTTACACCACTGTCCCAGGTTAGGGGGTGGGTTGGGATCCCGCTAACATGTTTAACCCCGCCACATTCTGTATGTACATGTATGTGCCTGTCCCAAGTCAGGAGCCTGTAATTCAGTGGTTGTCGTTTGTTGATGTGTTGCATATTTGTTATTCGTTCATTTTTTATACAAAAATTAGGCCGTTAGTTTTCTTGTTTGAATTGTTTTACATTGTCATTTCGGGGCCTTTTTTAGCTCACTGTGCGGTATGTGCTTTGCTAATTGTTGAAGGCCGTACTGTGACCTATAGCTGTTAATTTCTGTGTCATTTGGTCTCTTGTGGAGAGTTGTCTCATTTGCAATCATACCACATCTTCTTTTTTATATTTACATCAACAGATATAAACAATTCACCAAAGTCAAACTTAGTTGTAAGATCTCTGAAATTTTTTACACGGTACAAGTTTTTCTAATTGTTCATGTTGTTGGAGATTGTACGGTGACAGTAACACCTGTAACTGCTTAACCCATTTCTTATGCACTTTGGTTCGATAAACTCACTGAATATCATACCACATCTCCTTATTTTTATATGCATTACAATTTACATGTGCATGTAATTGTAAATAAAATTTATATATATATATCAGAACAAACTTCATTGCGTCACTTTTATTTATGCATCCTTTGGCACAATACAAGTTCTAAAATTACACAACATAAAACAACTAAATGTTATTTCAGATGAAAGTTTTGTTTCAGTTCCATTCATAGGATTTATTAGAATTTTGTATGTTTTGCCAAGTC